AATTAATTGTAATTCGGAGCTAAATGGGGAGAGCAATAATATTACTCTAGTGGAATATTTTATTATTTAATTACAAGATTAGGAATTAGGAATTAATTATATTCCATAATTCCCTAAGGATGAGAATATTCCTTCTAGAATATTATCTAGGGTTAGGAGACTATAGAGTCTTCTAGAAGGTAATTAATTATTAAGAATATTATCCTAAATGGGAAAAGGAGATAGAAGATAATAAGGATTCCTAAACCTTAAGGAATAAGCTCATATTTAACACCTCCTTTAGGTCCCTATTGTAGCGTATAAATACACTAGGTCCCCTAAGCTCTTGAACAAGCTTTACACGTTTTTTCTCCCCGAAGGGCTGGAGAAATTCAGCCTCTTCAAGCGAGAAAAAAAAAAGAGAGATTATTCTTCGAGAGAAAATTCGGTTAGCACCGTAAGGTCTTAGAAGAAGATGATCAAAAGGTTTTGAGAAATCTAATAAATCGCTCCACCAAGATTTATTAGAGATCGTGTAAAGGTCATAAAATAGAAGATTTGAAGGTTGTTATTCGAATCCCGTCAAATATATACATATCGTTCAGCTCGCCGGATTTTTTCCCAATTTTTTGTCATATTTCCGCATATAGTTCGCGCATCTCAGCCCGCTCCCAGGTTTCCAGTCCGCGCCCTCTTCAGAATTTTTTCAGGTCCAATTACCACAACATGGCTTGTGGTGTAGTGGTCTTTAGCGCGCCACTTGTGGTTGAGGTCACGAGATCGATTCTGTCCTTGCGCAACCAATTTTTATTTTGTCACCAGCATGTGTGAAGGAGAATGCGCGCGGGCTGGGAGGCCCACGAAGCCCGATTGGTCACTCAGTAGCCAGCCCACGCGAGCCCGCGCCAGGCCCTCATCTCCCTCAGTTCCTAGCCTGCGAAGCCCACGAATAGCCCGATATCGGCCCGCGTGTCCGCCCACGTTGCTGCAGCTTCCCAACCCGTATACACGGCCCAATTATGCGTACCTGGCCCATGTGCGCGTTCTCTCCGCGGCCGAACAGCTGAAGAGCAGCCCAGTGACTTGGAAAGCAGCCCAGACCGGACCAGCTCGAGCCCAGGGTATTCCAGACCGGCCCAGACGTGTCCACCTCGCACCAGACCAGTTCAACTTGGTCCAGAAGCCCCGGTTGGTTTCCAAGGTGGTTCCCGAGCAGTCCGAATGGTCCAACTCACTTACCGAAAGTTCGAGACGATCGGATAAGCTTGATGACTCGATTAAAATCGAGAAAGGTCAAGTCTAGCCGCCCATTAGACTTTGGTGCTCAGATGATCTCCATCAACGGAAATCAGAAACTGTTGGTGTTATATACTTAAGCTTTGCTTTAGTGGATATTACACTTGTTATTTCTTGATGAATGAGAATTATGTTTGGTTAAATAAGTTACACGTTCTGTTGTTTTGCATGTAGATAAGTGGGTCGTCATCGGGCGTACCGAAGATCACTATATCAGTTACTTGCGAAACAAGAATCATTGGTTCACAACCTAGATGGAATTGAACAACCCATCAGAACGGTAGTAGTGTCAACCGTACAGTTTGTCTTGACCGATTAGTTGCACTAGTACATTTATGTA